CTGTGAGGTAACAATTAATGTACACCACTATACTGTCGTCAGATACACGGTCTGTGAGGTAACAGTTAATGTACACTAGAATGTCGTCAGATACATGGCCTGTGAGGTAACATCTAATGTACACCACTAGAATGTCGTCCGAAACACAGTCTGTAAGGTCACAATTAATACGCATAACTTGCATGTCGTCAAATAAACGATCTGTGAGGTAGCAATTAATGTACACCACTATACTGTCGTCAGATATATGGTCTGTGAGGTAACAATTACTGTACACCACTAGAATGTCGTCCGAAACACAGTCTGTGAGGTAACAATTAATGTACACTAGAATGTCGTCAGATACATGGCCTGTGAGGTAACAATTAATGTACACCACTATAATGTCGTCAGATACACGGCCTGTGAGGTAATAATTAATGTACACCACTATACTGTCGTCAGATATATGGTCTGTGAGGTAACAATTTCTGTACACCACTAGAATGTCGTCCGAAACACAGACTGTGAGGACACAATTAATACGCATAACTTGCATGTCGTCAGATAAACCATCTGTGAGGTAACAATTAATGTACACCATTATAATGTCGTCAGATACATGTTCTGTGAGGTAACAATTAATGTACACCACTAGAATGTTGTCAGATACATAGTCTGTGAGGTAACAATTCATGTACACCACTATACTGTCGTCAGATACACGGTCTGTGAGGTCACAATTAATACGCATAACTTGCATGTCGTCAGATAAACCATCTGTGAGGTAACAATTAATGTACACCATTATAATGTCGTCAGATACATGGTCTGTGAGGTAACAATTAATGTACACTAGAATGTCGTCAGATACATGGCCTGTGAGGTAACAATTAATGTACACCACTATAATGTCGTCAGATACATGGCCTGTTAGGGAACAATTAATGTACACCACTATAATGTCGTCCGAAACACAGTCTGTGAGGTCACAATTAATACACATAACTAGCATGTCGTCAGATAAACGATCTGTGAGGTAACAATTAATGTACACCACTAGAATGTTGTCAGATACATAGTCTGTGAGGTAACAATTCATGTACACGACTATACTGTCGTCAGATACACGGTCTGTGAGGTCACAATTAATACACATAACTTGCATGTCGTCAGATAAACGATCTGTGAGGTAACAATTAATGTACACCATTATAATGTCGTCAGATAAACGATCTGTGAGGTAACAATTAATGTACACCACTAGAATGTCGTCAGATACACGGTCTGTGAGGTAACAGTTAATGTACACTAGAATGTCGTCAGATACACTGTGAGGTAACAATTAATGTATACCACTATACTGTCGCCAGAAACACGGCCTGTGAGGTAACAATTAATGTACACCCTTGCATGTCGTCAGATAAACAATCTCTGAGGTAACAATTAATGTACACCACTAGAATGTTGTCAGATACATAGTCTGTGAGGTAACAATTCATGTACACGACTATACTGTCGTCAGATACACGGTCTGTGAGGGAAACAATTAATGTACACTAGAATGTCGTCACTATAATGCCGTCAGAAACACGGCCTGTGAGGTAACAATTAATGTAAACCACTATAATGTCGTCAGATACACGGCCTGTGATGTAACAATTAATGTATACCACTATACTGTCGCCAGAAACACGGCCTGTGAGGTAACAATTAATGTAAACCACTATAATGTCGTCAGATACACGGCCTGTGATGTAACAATTAATGTACACCACTATAATGTCGTCAGAAACACGGCCTGTGAGGTAACAATTAATGTATACCACTATACTGTCGTCAGAAACACGGCCTGTGAGGTAACAATTAATGTACACCATTATAATGTCGTCAGATACACGGTCTGTGAGGTAACAGTTAATGTACACTAGAATGTCGTCAGATACTTGGCCTGTGAGGTAACAATTAATGTACGCCACTAGAATGTCGTCCGAAACACAGTCTGTGAGGTAACAATTAATGTACACCATTATAATGTCGTCAGATACACGGTCTGTGAGGTAACAGTTAATGTACACTAGAATGTCGTCAGATACATTGCCTGTGAGGTAACAATTAATGTACACTAGAATGTGGTCAGATACATGGCCTGTGAGGTAACAATTAATGTACACCACTATACTGTCATCAGATACACGGTCTGTGAGGTAGCAATTAATGTACACTAGAATGTCGTCAGATACATGGCCTGTGAGGTAACAATTAATGTACACCACTATAATGTCGTCAGATAGATGGCCTGTGAGGTAACAATTAATGTACACCACTAGAATGTCATCCGAAACACAGTCTGTGAGGTCACAATTAATGTACACCACTATACTGTCGTCAGATACATGGTCTGTGAGGAAACAATTAATGTACACCACTATACTGTCGTCATGGTCTGTGAGGTAACAATTAATGTACACTAGAATGACGTCAGATACATGGCCTGTGAGGTAACAATTAATGTACGCCACTAGAATGTCGTCCGAAACACAGTCTGTGAGGTAACAATTAATGTACACCACTATACTGTCGTCATGGTCTGTGAGGTAACAATTAATGTACACTAGAATGACGTCAGATACATGGCCTGTGAGTTAACAATTAATGTACACCACTAGAATGTCGTCCGAAACACAGTCTGCGAGGTCACAATTAATGTACACCACTATACTGTCGGCAGATACATGGCCTGTGAGGTAGCAATTAATGTACACCACTATACTGTCGTCAGATACACGGTCAGTGAGGTAACAATTAATGTACACTAGAATGTCGTCAGATACATTGCCTGTGAGGTAACAATTAATGTACACCACTAGAATGTCGTCAGATACACGGCCTGCGAGGTAACAATTAATGTACACCACTATACTGTCGTCATGGTCTGTGAGGTAACAATTAATGTACACTAGAATGACGTCAGATACATGGCCTGTGAGTTAACAATTAATGTACACCACTAGAATGTCGTCCGAAACACAGTCTGTGAGGTCACAATTAATGTACACCACTATACTGTCGGCAGATACATGGCCTGTGAGGTAGCAATTAATGTACACCACTGTACTGTCCTCAGATACACGGCCTGTGAGGTAACAATTAATGTACACCACTAGAATGTCGTCCGAAACACAGTCTGTGAGGTCACAATTAATGGACACCACTATACTGTCGTCAGATACATGGCCTGTGAGGTAGCAATTAATGTACACCACTATACTGTCGTCAGATACACGGTCTGTGAGGAAACAATTAATGTACACTAGAATGTCGTCAGATACATTGCCTGTGAGGTAACAATTAATGTACACCACTAGAATGTCATCCGAAACACAGTCTGTGAGGTCACAATTAATGTACACCACTATACTGTCGTCAGATACACGGTCTGTGAGGAAACAATTAATGTACACTAGAATGTCGTCAGATACATTGCCTGTGAGGTAACAATTAATGTACACCACTAGAATGTCGTCCGAAACACAGTCTGTGAGGTAACAATTAATGTACACCACTATACTGTCCTCAGATACACGGTCTGTGAGGTAACAATTAATGTACACTAGAATGACGTCAGATACATGGCCTGTGAGTTAACAATTAATGTACACCACTAGAATGTCGTCCGAAACACAGTCTGCGAGGTCACAATTAATGTACACCACTATACTGTCGTCAGATACATGGCCTGTGAGGTAGCAATTAATGTACACCACTGTACTGTCCTCAGATACACGGTCTGTGAGGTAACAATTAATGTACACTAGAATTTCGTCAGATACATGGCCTGTAAGGTAACAATTAATGTACACCACTATACTGTCGTCAGATACATGGCCTGTGAGGTAGCAATTAATGTACACCACTATACTGTCGTCAGATACACGGTCTGTGAGGGAAACAA